GTCCAATGCACGGTAAAAAAAGATCGGAACAAAACAGAGCAAAGAGCCAAAGACAAATCCGCAAAGAATTGAAATCAGTTCTAAAATTTATAAAGTGTGGCTATTAGTCGATGGATTTTGTGTGTACGAGTGACGACGGGGATAGGAGCACCAGGATGAGGCCTTTGCTGGCAGAGAACTCTATCCGAGAAGGACACAAAACAGAGCGCCTCTCAGTTCTAGGCAAGTGGTAGTGATTCGTACCATCCCGGAAGCTGAAGACGTGTTCTAGGTTGTCAACGACGGTGGCAACGTTGACGAGGCGCCATCTGGTCTCCGTGAAGGACTCGAAATCAAGGAAGAAGGAAGGTTTTAGGTGAAACCGGGGTTTCTACGATTGCCTTTGAGGCACGGAATGAGTGGCTGGAGCTTCTGAAACGGATGAACGACGGCACGAGAAAGGCGAATTCTTGAACCATGAAAACAAAGGAACCCAAAAACAGGGCCTCTTGGCCAAACCCGCCGGAGCCTACATTGGCGATCACTGGTGATCGAGCAGGGATCGGCAACAGTGGTGACGTTATTCTGAAAGCACGGGTTGGAGTGCGTGCACCGATGGCAGTCGTAATCGTGGCTCGAGAGAGGACTCGGCCACCCAAGTATTGAACCGTGGCCTGGAAGCTTCTTCACTCTGTTTTTCTTTCTCAACTCTCACCGTTCTCTCCAAAATTCCCACCGCTTTCCCATCTTTTAAAGCTCACTCTCGTTACTCTGCCCTTTCTTTTCAAACTTGCCCATTTCTACTTTGATGTTTTTATAGTATGCGCCCATGTCCAGTTTTCTTTTTTCCCTGTTCTGTTTTTGCCCTTCACTCTCGCTCAACTCTCGTAAACCCCCGTACCCTTTGACCACCGAATAAAGAGATTTGCCCTCGGCTCAGTCTAGTATCCCTCGCTCCTTGATGTTGGGACAGTTCACAAAAAAGTCGCGATCTCGGCATGAGCCAATATTCGATGCGGACACTCTATTCTTTTAAAAAAAAAGGTGCTTGATTTTTAAGTGCAAAAAAATGCAATAAAAAATGAGAATGCAAGATCATGAAATATCGATGATTTTAGTTAGCCGTCAAATTTTATCATTATTAATAGGTTTGATCTATAACTTTTTTTATGAAATGTATGAATAGTCCACGAGTAAAAATTTAACTACCAATGACTGCCCCTATTCCAACCGTTTTTTGAGTTGGTGAAGTTTAGGATCTTTTTAAGTACTTCGAAAGGGGCTTTCTTTTGAAAGTAAGCACATTTGAATTGAGGCTTGGTAGAGAGAAATATAGCACAAGAAAGTTTGTCCAGTTGGTTATTCGTCATGGCTGGCTGTTTTTAAGGTATTTTATCGACGTGTAATGAATGATTTGACTTCGGAATAGCGTCACTTAGTCGATTCTTTGTTATGGTGGTTATTTACTTGAGTTTTAATATCACTTCTTGTTTAATTGATAGGATTTCGAGTTAGTTAGCTTGAGATAACTTTTGTGGTTTGGTTTAGACTTTCCCAATTAGAGGAGATTTGTAATACTCACGGGGCTGTAGTTACCCATACCATTCATCTCGAATCTTTTTCAGGTTCCTCGCCTAGCGGCAAGAGAGATAATAGTGCTACTTGGAGGAACTTAGGTAGATGGATTTTGTTATAAGTTGAGGTGATTGTATATATGTTTGTGAAATGGTATATGTAAGGTTTAGCTAGATATGTTTAGAAATATAAACATTTATTGTTATTGGTGATTTTAGAACTCTGTTTTACAACAAACTCCCTATTTTATTGGATATATTGATAGATAAATATTTCAATAACAGGTTTATGTTGGTGTGTGTTTGAGGTCGTATCCTCCAAAAAGGAGGATGGCCATGTCATTTCCCCTATTTTTTGTTGAACTGGGGTGTGACATTTTTTTATATCGTAACATCCTTAAATTAACTCACTCGAGGTATTATTTGTTTTGACTCATCCTATATTAAGCATCACGGTTTTGTCCTTTGGCATACAGATAAACACTTTCCCAGGAAGTCACACCATTATTGTAGTGCTCTCACCTGAGCACGTTTAACATTAGAGTTCTAATGCTAAGCTACCGATATGTCAAAAAGCACCTTTTTGTGAGTTAATTCCAATTTCATGTATATATCCCAAGAATGTTTTCCCACTTGTTCAGCGTGCAACTCGGTTCATTCTGGCCCCCTTTACCATCATGAAAGCCTATGAGGAGCCGTTCCTTGTTTGAACCATCTGTCCCCAGCAAACATTCCTCACCCTCGTCAAATCGGATCATTACAGGCACACTAGTTCAGCACGGTTTGTCTCGAACCACACACCTATTGGACAGAAACCTGCTTCCGATACCATAACTCACTTAGGCTACGTTTGATCATCCGGATTTCTAGTCAGGATATGACTAGATAGGATAGGATAAGAAATCCATGGATTTTGTTATATCCTATCTACTGTTTGGTGAACTACGGATTTAAAGTCGGATATTTTTATATCATATTCTATTTATTATTTGGTAGAAATTGGATAGCATTATAAAAACAGCATGAGCATAAATCCAGCAAATTTAAGTCGCAAACAGCATATTAAAAACATACACAGCATTCTTAGCCAAGAATCCAGCATATTCTGACTTATACAACACTCATAGCAAGAAATCAACATTTTTCTGAACATGTACAGCAAGAACAAAGAATCCAGTAAATTTGAGCCATATACAGTCATATTCCGCGAGCATACAATGCAGCGGGTGTACAAATTGAACAAGTAGCACATCCTGAAATGAATATTTTGCAATCTAATAGTGATAACTGAAATAAACCATGTACTTGCGCGTACATTGTGAGCACAATATAAACGATACTCGAACATATCCATCGCATGTGAAGTGGATTCTCAATCCGAATCAGAGCAGCAATTAGTATTCGGAAAAAAAAAAGAGCTACAACTCCACATGTGAACAATTTGCGATTATAAAACATTTCTCTACATCAACACCTAAACAATTGTGATACGAGCAATTTGAACACTTCAAGCTCAAAAATATATCTAGACGCTCTCGGTTTAGACCACAATTCAGTCACATAACCAAATGAGTATTTAATTCACTGAGAACAAAGTAAACCGAAGCATTGGGGGAAAGAGAACTCTCATGAACATTTCATCGAATAGGTTATGTGACTATCTCAAATTCAAATTTGAAACCTGAATCTATCTAGATCAGTACATGACGTTTGCAATCGAAGCAATAAACTCAGACGTAACATAACCACTGAGTGACAGCAATCTCATTCAAAGCCTATATATTGATTGAATCTTTCCTTCGGATTGCTTTGATCGATACCTTACTTCCCTCGTTGTAAATCCAATCCAATCCTTCGCCGATCATCGCGTGTCGTAGAGAGGAAGGCTATGAGGACAGGAAAGTCCTGGAAGACGACATGGAAGATGAAGAAGTGGGGGAAGACTGCGGCAAAACTGGCGTTGGCAAGAAGCAGAGGAGATCGGACTTCATAGACGACGTCATGGATGAGGACACCGAGGAGGAAGAGGAAGACGATGAGGACGATGATTTCAGTGGCGGCGACAGGGAAGAGGCAGCGTGCGAAGAGGAGATCGGGGTCAGAGTTCTTCGATCTCGAGCCTCGCGTTGACAGTGATGAGGAAGAGGATGAGGACGATGTTGAGGTCGATACGTGAAAGAGCGTTTCTTCGTGAGAAATCCTATCCGGATCTATCCCATCTCCCTCCAGGATATTTTTATCCTGGCTATATTCCCTTTATATCCCTCTTCATCCTATCCTAAACAACCACAAAATATAGGATAGGATAAAACATATCATATCTTGACTTTTATCCGGACGATCAAACGCAGCCTTAAGGTATTATCCGTGTGCCTCATGGTTTTGTATTTTAGTGTACAAGTGAGTACTTTCCCAAGACGTAGTTCTCTTACTTGAGCACACTTAACATTGGGGTTCCAATACTAAATATTGTCGTTACGTCAAAAGATTTATTTTTTGAGTTAATTCCAATTTCACATTTATATCTCAAAAAATGCTTTCCTCTTATTTGGTTTGCAATTTGGTTCATTTTTACCCCTTTCACTATCTTAAAAGCCTGCAAAGAGCTGCTCCTTGTCCGGACCCTCCAGTCTTGATAAACACCCCCAGCATCTTCGGACTGGGTTGTCATAGAGAGAAGGTTTTTTCTTTTCATTTTCCACAGTGGTATCCATTTAAGCATCTACATTGGCTAAATTTTATTCATGTTGTCATATTCCAACATCGTCTAGCAGCCACGTTTTCTTGATTCGGACGTATTTAATGTTATAAGGATTTAATTACCTAGAAAGCTTTATGAAATTAGGAGAATTTGATTACACAAATTAAAACTAAAAAGGACTTAATCAGCAAAAGAGTGAAAGTATTAAAATAAGGCGTAAAATTCTTCCCTAGTGTTTGGTTCGACTAGATTAGGGTATGAAGTACGTTCGGCCGATTTCACGCTCTTCATCGAGTAACCAAGTTCGTCTCATGAGTTTGATGAGCCTGTCGACAATTATAGGAAGGCAAACATATTGGCACACATTACAAAAATGTACATGCAATAAGTTGCTTATATACATATGTGAAAAAGTAAAATACAAGATGATATAATTTTCTAAGTCACGTTCTCTTTAAAAACAACATAAAAACGCGAGTACATCATTCTAAATGAGAAATGCTAAATGCTTACCGAAACACTGCCGTGTAGATTTTTGCTTTCTGAATGATTCGATAAGGAAATTGGAGGGTATGAATTGTAAAATTTTCTAGAATCAATACCAACTATTGAAAGCGTTGTTGAGTGTTTCGATATTCTAATACTTCACCTAAAAGTTGGCTAGACTTTTGCGAAATACTAAATCGTAGAAAATATAGAATTACCAATACAAATAAAATCTGTGAAAAGATTTAAACTCAAGCCCTTTTATTTTTATATCATATGACAAAGCCAACTGCAATTTAATATTTGTACATACCAATATAGAATTACCAATGCAAATAAAATAGCCCAATCGCGAGTAACAACAGCGTGTCATTTGCGGCTGTCGTATATATTATTAGTAGCATCTCTCTTCCCCAAAAAAAACCTCCGGATGCAACTAGAACAACCTTGTCCCGAGGGGGGAGGTGCGGCCGAGGCCGAGGTGTTGGCAGTATCTTTAGGAAGCTCTGGGATGCTCGAACGGTACTTGTCCGTCTTGTGAGCCAAGAGGAGCCACACATGAGTGACGAGCTCACCTCCTCTTCTCAGTAGATTGGCATGGTGATACACTGGACAGTTGGATGCTGCATAACACAGCATCTCCGCCCAGATGCTGCTGATGAGTTCCCATTTGTTATCCATCGTCCTCAGGGCGACGACGAGCTTCTGCACTTCCAACAGCACGTGCCAGTTCCGAGTGATAATTGTCACCTTATCATAGTCCATGGGGTCTCTGAAATTTCCATCCGCCGACAATAGTTGGCTAATTGCTTCGCTATGATTTCTGTTCCTCAACCAAGGCCTCAGTGTGCAAAAAGCGTGCTCCAGTGTGATGTCGGCGGTGGTGAGGGACAACATGTAAGGATGCAGAGCGAGGAGGTATATCATGTAATCCGATAGAAGTTTGCTTTCTGCACGAGCATCCTCGGACTTTTCGCTTTCCAATAGGTGCAGGATTTCCGTCGCGACGTGCCAGATAATGATGCTCTTATCGAATTCCATCATGATGCTATTGCTCAGTGTCCGATTCTCTTGGATGCCGTGAGTCTCGAGCGTCCACTTACCTCTTTCCGTGAAGGGCAGGAGGTGTCGTTTCTTCTCTAGCTCGGTCATCTTTTGAACTACCAGTGCCTTGAGACACGAGGGGATGGTCTGGCGGGAGTGTAACCAATACCTCCAGAAGATCTCCCTTTTGCCAAACAAATCAAGAACCACGCCGATGGGCTTCCACCAGTCTTTGTATAAGAGGTGGCGGTCTAACAAATTAAGCTGCCCTATCGACCTTGACCACCTTTTCTTCTTCATGCACCAATCGGCTAGATATGGGAGGAACCTTCGGAAAAGCGGCACCTTAAGGTTCATACTCATCTTCACCACTGCCCAATCCGAAAAAGGCAGCACCATGACTTGATAAAGCTCGAGAGATGTGACTGCCATCAGTAATGCGTAGGTATAGGTGACATACATGTCGATCAAGAAGACATTCTTGAAGATGATGGTGAATCCACACAAGGCAGACACCAAGCAGAACAAGCCGAAGAAGTGGCCTATGAGGCCGACTTTGGTGTACAGAAGAGGCGCTTTAGTGTAGAGCACATCGAACATCAAGTTCAGCTCGATCTCGGTTATGGTGAAAGCATGGTTGGTGGGGTAATCATCGATGGACATCCAAGCGCGGGATATGAACAGAGGGTGGTACAGCCAGTTCACGAGGTGGGGCTTCAGACAGTCGAACCGAAAGTATGCCTTCAAGATGTCCTTTGCAGAATCGAACTTGTTGTCCTTGGGGATCTCATTGAACACTCTCTGAATTTGTGCTTCTTCAATGATGTCCTCAGCAGTCACGCTCGAGTTCCCATCATACACAGAGTGGAGAACCCAGACCCACCCCACCGACTTCCCGATTCCAACCACGAACAAGGGGAAGTACAGCCTTGAAACCAGGGACGTGCTGTCCCAACAGCGAATGAGAATCCAAAACACGAAGCCAACCGTAACCATGATGTTGAGCATCTGTCTCAATCCCAGCCGGTTATCTTCCACCTCATAGGCCGTTATGCCATCTGGGTACCCGAGTTGTATCAGAAGCAATGGGGCCAATAGCCCTTCCAACACCACATCGTGACCCGGATTTTCAGGATCATCGATGCGGACCACAGTAAGCTTGCCCAGCGCCAATGTTGCAAAGTAAGAAAGGAGTAAATATGTGGCCCAGATGAGGAATCTAGCTAAAATCCAGGTCATATATTTCCGGCGGCTGCCTAATAATGCAAGAACGATCCCGCAGGCAACGCTTGCAGCAACCAATAACTGAATTCCCCACGACGCCCACAGGCCTTTTAACAGCGGCAACACGGTGTTCAAACTCATGGCAGCTTCGTTCAGGTGTGCTCACTAGACATCAATGCAAATGCAGAGTGAGGAAAATTTTCACATTGCTTCTGAAGAACAATTACAAATACCTTGCACAAAACTGCACAAATGCATACAATATTGCATGCATTAATTCTCTCAATCTGTCAGGATCTGGCACCACTGAAACTAAGAATGTGCACATTACTTATCCTACGAGTTATGGATAAGTAGGACTCTGGATTTTCATTAGGTCTGTATTAGATGCATCATATCTGTGAAGTGACCCACCGGTCAAACACAAAGTGCGTAAATTTTCATTAAAATACTTTCTTAAGTTACTTGTGTTTTACTTGTTGTTGATAATGACTGTCAGGCGGCGTTGCAAATGCCCAAGAACTAGAAAGGAAGATTTACAATGCAAATGATATTCTTTTTGATAATTGTAAGTTAACTTAGTTCATTGAAAGTCCAGGCACAGAGAGTACACAGGTATATATATATATATATATATATATATATATTTTTTTTTTTTTAAGACTGTTTATTTACACTTAAGCAAAAAATAAAAAGAAATTTTTTCGTTTGCCCATCAAAATTTAAAAAAATATAAAAGATTATAAAAAACTACATATTAATATATTTTTTTAGTCTGTCATACTCTATCTTTCAACTCACTATCAGACTTTTGAATCTTGATTTCATGAACTAAGGCCTTTTTCTTTTCTCTCTTTTTGAAATGTGGTAGAATAGATGTGTCACCCAATGAGAAAGCCACATTTCAACTTCTCCGTGGGCTTCTACTATATGCACCAAGATACAAGAAAGCACTAGACTTTAGATGCAATTGCTCTCGGGTTGGATTTTCAAAATTTTTAGTAGAAGCGGTTTCACGACTCCAAAAATAATTCCTGTTGTCCTACCACATTTCAAAGCCTGCAGATTTCATAGATCCCATTCACGTAGGAAAGATTGCATTCAATAGCACATTTGCTATATTTTTCCTGACATGGCAATCTTTGAATGTCAAAAGTAACAGGTTGTGAAGGAACAGAGAAGGGTCATAATTTCTCCTGGTAGTTCTTTCACCAGTGGGAAAATGAACATCGAGAACAAACATAAACATGTGCTATAACTTGTATAGAGCATGGTTAAGTGTACTGATCAACAAATTCAAGTACGACAATCACTTGCCGAAACATCCAAAGCGCAAGGAGTGTACAAACATCTTTCCCTAAAAGTAATACGGATTAGTAAGCACGACAAGCAAATGCAAGCTAGCTAAAATAAAAGGCAAGAAAGAGTTGCAACGCAACACAAGACTAGCACCATGAAACCTGAACTCGAGGGCTGATGAATCCCAGAAGTACGATTCAGAAGACAACGGCATCGGCATCGGTAAAATTGGAGAAACTGAAGCAGAGAAAAGCAACGGAGATCTTTTCCGTAAGAAACATTGTGAAGGAACAATTACTGGGAATAGGTGATTTCCTCTCTTGGCTAGCAGAGCACTTTAACACATAACAGCAACAAACTGCTTGTTGTGGAACCTCCGTTTATAAAGTAAGAAAAAGAAATCCGAAGGAATGAAAAAGGACACAAAGAAAATGGAATAATACACCGCATGGGAATTTGATTATTTGCTTGCAACTTTCGTCTGAGGCTCTTTTCCTCTTTTGTTCGGCTTAAAGGGTAGATAAAGATAACTATGTCTGAAGCTTCGGCCTCCATCTTTAAGGTCGCGCGTGATTCTCGTTCTATCCTGCACTTTTAGGTCTTGGATTAGGCAAATGATAGGCTACTCTAACACTAGCATCGGGTCACGATGAAATTGTAGGAAGACTTCGGGTCCGTTTTATTTCGTGGAAAATTGACATGACTAATTAATATTTAATAAGAAAACTAGTTTCAAGAAAAATAGTTTAATTTTCTTGTGTTTGGTAGAATTTTAGGAATGAGCTATAAATCATTATCGGAAGTTTGGTGTCAAAAAAATTAGGGAAATTGTCTAATCATTCTTAAATCTATTGTATGAATATCAATTTAATCCTAAACTTTCCAATTTTGAAATTTAGTAACCTTTGTACCAAATTTTAATGTAGTCATTCTAAATAATTTTTATCGGAAATTGCTGATGTGGTGATGTCTTATAGGACGGCCGATAATGACTGAATCATCATGTCAACGATTTTTAGCGAATTGACTAGAAAGACTACATTGGGATTCGTCCAAAGGTTTAGAACTAAATTGACAAAATTGAGAAGTTTATGACTAAATTGCAATCCGTATAATAAGTTTAGGACTAAATTGATAAAATAGAGAAATTTATGACTAAATTTCAATATATATAATAAGTCTAGGACTAATTAAGTAATTTTTCCCAAAAAACTTGATGGCGTTTGAGACAAATAAACCTACAATGCAACAATCTTGAGAACTTGGCAGCAGGACTTAAGACCTCGAGCCTCGAACTCGAGATTGGACCTGGACTGTGAGCCTCGGACTGAAGTTCCTAGGAGTTGGACGCCAGAGGTCGATCCAAGAACTCGTGGCCCTAGATGCTCAAGTTTGCCCCAGTCTGCAAAGTCTAGGTGCTACGATCTAAGGTCCAATCGTTTAGGGCGCTGGTTAGGGCACTGGGTCTCATGCCAAGCCCCCTAGTGTCCTAAGTTTAGGTGCTAGGGTGTTCAATCTGACCGCAAGGTCAAATTAGATTCTTGAAAATGAATATCAATCTTTTAAAAGAGTAGATTTAAAGATGGATTTTTGTTCATCGTAACTCATTTTCAAAGCAAAGCCAAAATGACATAAAATGAGGAAATATGTTCCAACAATTAGTTTTCCGTAAGATAATTGTACCTTTCGTGGTTTTGAAAATTTACTCCAAGTCCTCCTGTAAGAACTTGTAGAATCCACTAAATTAAGAAAACTATGATGATGTGGCCAATTAGTTCATCTTGATGAACAATTTTCAAGAGGACACGAAATCCAACTCTAACTGTAAACAGCTCTTTTTGTCACCCAAAGTCAGATTGAAAATTTGCTCACCAGGACAAATCACTTGGCCCTCAAAATCCATTTCAATTAATACCCAAATTTCCTTAAAAAATCATGAAATTTTTATATGTTATAGACATCAGTGTCCTTGACAGCTTTTATGAAGGAAGTTTGTTGAAAAAAGGTATGAAAAATTTTATAAAAAATTCAGAGAGACATGCCAGTCAGGTGAACAGTAAACCCAGTAGAGTTGTGACGGTTTGAAAATGGACTTCCGAATACCCCAAAATGATCTTCAAAAATTATAGATTTAATATATGACATACTTCAAGATGTTAGGGTCAACTTCCATGAAAACACTTCCTCAATTTCGGTCCACATTAATCTCCACAAAAATAACAAAACAACATGACACCTCAACAAACAAATCCGAGAAACATCTCAGCAATCACAAATCATCAATTAAGCACAACCAGCTATCAAACCAACCCTAATTCATCTCTAATCAGCCCTTAACATGTCCATTAGTAACCCCTTAGTCTAGTCAAGAGTTAGGAAGCCACTTATCTCGAGTCTAGGCAAGAATGACTCGGGGGAAAGGGGCAGTAACAAGGTCAGTAGAATAGCAGTAGCGGAGCAGAAGCAGCAGTAGTGAAGCAGAAGCGGAAGTAGCAGCAGCAGCAGTAGAGGAGCAGAAGCAGCGAAGAAAAGGAAGCAGCAGCAGTGAAACAGAAGGAAAAGAAGGAAAAGACAATGGAAGAAGAGAGAAATGATGGGGTTTTTGTGTGGGAGTCGGTGGAGTCAGCTGAGAAAAGGCGAAAGTCAATGGCGTGGGGGTCAGCGGGGAAGGAGAGGAAGAGAGAGAGAAAGAGAAAAGAGTTGAGTGACTTGAGTAGGTCAACTACCCCCACTATGACTCAACCAAGGGCTAGGATTAACTAGTCAATCTCATCAAAGATCCAATGGCTCACATTGGTCGACTCCACTAACTCCTAGAGGCAAAATAGGAAATGAGCAAGAGGAGAGAGGGGCATTATGGTCCAATATTTTCGGCCAGCATGGGGGCAGCAACTTTACCAAAATGCCCTTCCATTTTTCAAATGAACTCAAACAATCCCAAGGGCAAAATGGTCATTTTTAATTCATGATCCAAATTTCACTTTTCCGACAAATCCGAGTGGCCCTATGGTTGGCCACACCAAATGTGACGTCGTCCAATGAATTAGTCGTGGCTTTCGAGAAATTTGATTCCCAAGTTCGAATTCCAAGTAATGGTCAAATTTAATTAAATGCAACTTTGGTGTGTCTCAAACTAACGGGCGGCTTTTAGGAATTATGCGTATCGACTCGTGGCCGATTCAATATCGGGCCACATCTAAGTTTACTTGAGCCATGGCGACCTCGGTTGTCATGTAATTACGAGGGTCAATCAGTAGTTCCAATTGGCGCGATCACTCGGATTAGGTTTATGATCGTTCGAAATTTATACAATGGTCAAGCAGATTCACCCGCGATCCAATTATACAACATTTGCGAATCGTTTCATAACCATCCTTGAATTGGTCTATAATGACCCATAATATCTTCTCGTCAATCCTTATGGTCGAAGTGTCGATCCATGGCCAAGTTCTTAGGTCAACGTACTTGATTCCTAGTTAGCCATTCCCTAATGGTTAGTGTTCTCGAGAGTAATCAATTCCGAGTGAGATTTAACTGAAGTGCATCGAAGATATAATCATTTCATAAATCCCAAAAATGGGTCGAATTTCAGAATGCCACACATTGAGAGATGTCTTCCAGCATAATGAACGTGGTCTGAGTTCTACCAAAGGAAAAAAACTCAGCCCTTTAAAAATCACCTGTCCGGTAACTAGTATGTCGGACCGTAGACAAGTCAAACAACCAAACCACAATCCTAGTCAGTTCTGGTTTCTAAAACTTAAACTACTTTCCAAGCAATGAGGGGCAAGGGAGTGTAAAGAAAACAAGCCTTTTGAATATATAGGATCTACATCCAAGATATATGTTGCTATGTTTCATTGACAAGTCTCTTAGCTGAATGCGATTACAGTGATTTTATTGAGAAAGCACCTCTTTACCAAGAAGGGAAAAGAGAGAAAACACACGCATATACTATAATCGGGTGCAGAGCATGACCAATCCTAGGATCACCATTCACTCTGCGACTTTCCTTTGGTTTCTCCGGTGTGCTTGGTCTCTTCAGTGTGGGTGTACTTATCAGTATGGTGCTTCAAGAGCAGCCATACATGAGTTATAAGCTCTCCGCCACGCCGCAACAGTTTCATGTGATGGTAAACTTGACAACTGTGCGCAGCGTAGCACAACATCTCCACCCAAATGCTGCTTATGATCTGCCACTTGTTGTTCTTTCCCTTTAGTGTCGCAGCCAATTTCTGCGCATCCAACAGCACATGCCAATCCCTGGTGATTATGGTTCCCATCTGATCCAGGGAGGGTTCGAGCACGTCCTCTTCTGACGACAATGTCCCCAAGGCCTGATTGCTGTCTCTGTACTTGAGAAATGGCTTCAATATGGTGCAAGCATGCTCCAATGTGATATCGGCAGTCGTTAGGGACAACATGTAGGGTCGCAGTGCTAGAAGGTACATCATGTAACTGGATAGCAGTTTGCTTCCTTCACGATTCGGAGACTCGTCAGAATCTGAATGGAGGCAGAAGGTCGTTGCCATGTGCCAAATGATGATGCTTTTGTCAAATGTTGTCGAGATGCTATATCTCAACACTTCAAGGTCCCGTGTCCACTCCACATCATCGCTGAGATTGTGAGCTTTAATCGTCCAGTCGCCACGTTCGGTGAAGGGCTTTTGGCCTCTGATCACGTTGAGCTTCTCCATATCTTCTACCAGCAATTCCTTGAGAGAGCCGAGGATTTCCACGCGAGAGTAAATCCAATACCTTCTCCAGGTCACCTGTTTTATGCCCAAGTACCTGAGGAATCTTCCAATGGGCCGCGGCCAGTCATCATCGTACAAGCGATGATCCAACAAACCGAGTTGCCCAACTGAGTTCGACCACCTTTTCCGCTTCATATACCTTTCAGCTAAGAAGTTCAACAGCCTTGTTGACACGAGGCAGTTTCTTTGGTGACGGCTCATCGCCACAATGGCCCATGCCGAAAAAGGTTGCAAAACAATTTGGTAACCTTCTAGGGCGGTGACTCCTATCAACAAGGCGTAAGTGTAGGTTATGTACTTGTCTATTAAGAAGGCTCTCCTGAAAATAATGGCAAATCGACACAAGGCTGAGACTAGACAGAAAAAGCTAGTGAAGCGGCAGATAAGACCGAGCGGTTTATAGAGAATTGGTTGCTTGGTGTAAAGTACGTCATACATGAATCCAAGTTCGACCTCAGTTGTGATGAAGGCTAAATCGCGCTGTACAGTTAACCGAGATTCCTTTAGCGATTCCGGGTGGTAGAGCCAGTTTGCAATGTGGGGCTTCAAGCGATCAAACCGATGGTACGCCTTAAAGATGATCTTTCGCTCCGTCGACCATTTGGGCCTGTCTTGCTTGTTGAAGAACTTGCCAACAATTTCGTCGTCCAAGATATCCTTGGCTGATATGCTCGACCCCTTCCAGTACACGTACGCGAGGGCCCAAACCGTCAGTGCTGATCGAATGATCCCGGCAACAGACAAGGGGAAGTACAAAAGCGGGACGGGGGACGAGCTGTCCCAGCAGCGAATCAGGATCCAGATGACGGAAATGACCCTGACAAACAGATTCAGCATCTGCCGGTTGCTGAGCCGATTGTCCTCGACCGAGTATGCGGTTATGGAGTCAGGGTTCCCAAGCTGCATTAAGAGCAACGGTGCCAGCAACCCCTTGAGCTCAGTTATGTAGTCCGGTCGATCAGGATTGTCGATCTGGACAACAGTGAGCTTGCCAAGGGCAATGGTCGCAAAGTAAGAAGAGAGCAAGTAGGTGGCGTGGATGACGTATCTGATTACGATCGAGGTCCTGTACCTCCGGCGGCTGCCAAGGATGGCTAGGGTGATCTGGCAAGCGAGGCTCATGGTGACCAGCGATTGGATGCCCCATGCTTCCCATAAATCTTTCGACGAAGGCCATTGTGTACTGACTATGGATGATATCAGATCGAATGACTTCATGGGGACGTGATGTCTTCTGCCTGAGAAGCAACGATGCAAGTGAAATTACTAACGATGAAAATGGATAAACCGCCTTGCACTCATTCCGAAGAATTAAACATAAATCTCTAAACTCTTGTTGCATTCATTCAAAATGGTCAGTAAAATTTTGGGATCCTAACACTGCTCTTATTCTTCCAGTCCAGTGAATGAGATTAATTACGTCTTGCTGTTCTGCATGAGTGAAACCCACTTAAAAGGGAGAAAGAGAAGTTTCATAAGTCTATAAGCAATGCTAGGTGCTAGTTTTGCTAAAACAGATCTACGATATTGATATATTCAATGAGATGCCTGTTTGCAGAAGGACATCTAAAGAAGCTGACTCATTCAAACACCCAACTACCGATTACCAGATTACTTAACGGACCGATTATGTAAACCAGTTCAGTACACCAAGCGTTTCCCAAACATCAAATATGAGATCACCGACACACACACATTTTTTTATCTTGCTGAACTGATCATCGGCACACTGCTAAAACAGGATAAACGTTCACAGAGACAAATGAAACTAATGACAAGATCATAAATTTTCTGGAAAAAGAAAGGAAGTACAAAGTGGTCTGGCAAGAAACCGAAACCTTACGATGCTGTGTGACTGCCAAGAAGCTGACGAATTATAATAATAGAAATGGCACTGAGTGTATCTGTGTTCCTAACACTTGTGGGGAAGCTTAAGTTAATTCAAAATTGAAGAGAAAATAAGAGGGATTACAAAACACAAAGAAAGCAAAGAATTGATTACTTGCTTGTAACTTTAATATGCGATTCTCTCTCTTTGTTCGGCTTAGAGACAAACCATAAGATTTTCAACTTTACATTATTCTTTTGCACTCAATTGTAAACTCTGTTGAGAGTATGCAAAGAATTCACTCTTACACTTCTTGGTATAAAAGTCACCGCCAGGGCTTAAACTAGTGCAATTCATGTAATAAAGTCTCTCAACTTCCCATAACATGGTCATTTAATTTATTGGTATATTTACAAATTTTTGTAATTACATTATTATCCAGATTTTGGAATATTATTTCATTTTAATTCATTTCTTGAACCAACCCATAATAAAATAACACCTTTTTCACTTCATATCTTTGGTACTTATAAGTATTACAGTAGTGACATTTAAGTATATTTTAACTTGTGATTTCTATAATAATTTAACCTCCTTTACAATATAGACTTAGGATCTAGATATACTAGGCATCAATTCCTCTCTCCAGGTGCCATTCCCTGTAATCATCATTTTTTTTTTTGTTTTTATGACACTACTACCAATATCTTGCATCCACCCATACTCCAAACGATATCCACATCAAAAGTTAATAGAACGCAACAATCTAAAATGACCTTGCATCACTTTTTTTATTGAATTTGTATTGTACAAAGCACAAAAATTTGTCACTGCTCACTGCTTGCCTAGGCACTTGGCTGATTGCGGCAACAAACCTCAACTATACTGATTCACAGTCACAGAATGCTCCGGAAATACGTCTCCGCGTATGACAATTGACTGGTAAATCCCCCGAAACAAAACATGTTGTTTGTTGGCCTCAGCAAGTGAAGATGGTATTGCTGACATTGGATGAAGCATTCCCTGTATTGGAAATTAAGGCATGACAGCGTAAGAAAAGTCATGTTTGGGGATAAGAACAACTAGAGTGACATAACTTTCGTACGACACTCGTTTGAGTGTCATAACTTTTTTTTCGCTCACTTGAGTATCATATCAGAGTAAAATCAATCATTTGAGTGCCACTTCTGGCAAATCATCCTACGTGGATTTTTTGTAATTTTTTTAAAATATATATTTTTTGAATATTTTTTTTCCTTATTTTTCTATGTTTTTTTCTTTTTCTGTGCGCCGGTCGCAAAGGCCTCGCCCTCAGCCGGCGATGTCACGCCCCGTACCCCATCGAGCGCACGACATCCTTCTGGGGTCGATTAATGCGACATCCCAGGGTATCGCCGACCTCACTTATATCATCAGAGGTTTAAGATGATCAGCGGAAACCACAAAATACCCGGACAATTAAAACTGGGGAAACCAGGGAGAATACACATATTCATTTCTTATCCAAACTTATACAATATTCACAATTTACAAACCACCATATAAGCAAGCACACCGAACTTCTATACTATAAATCATCGACATAAAAAAAAAAGATCGATGACCTGAATATCCTATCCTCAAAAATGGTACACCTCCAAAAACCTATTTCCAACCCCTACGCTAACCCATACGCCCTTTGTTTGGCGTCCACTCTGAGTCTGATTCTTCGTCCTCCGAATCTGAGTCCCCCTGGACAGTCTGCTCCTCCGAAGACTTCGGCTCAGCCCCGATCTCGATCGGGTTGTTTATATCACCGACTCAGCAGGAACCTCGTCTTGTTCCTCCTCAGCCAACTCCTCAAAGAAATTATCCTCAGGCACGAAATCAGGGGCCATCCAATACTCATACGAAGGAATGTACTCCGGTTCCTCCTCAGGCTCAGCGGGCTCCGCAGGCTCATTCTCAGGTTCCACCTCGGGTTCTTCTTCCTCTGGTTCTTCCTCTGGAATCGGCTCAAGGTCCACGTCCATTGGATCGTCTCCCGCTAGAGACTCTTCCGGCTCCGGCTCATGCTCAGCCCCTGAAGACCCCGGTGCTGCAGGCGCTGGCTGCAGTCTAGACTTCGCCAGACTAGTTTCCACACTAGTCAGCTCACCATCAGGAGGAGGTATAGCAGACGGGTACCGGTCCCCAACTCCATCAAAGGGGACGTCAAATCCACGGACGGGTCCAAACTCGTCTATCCCGTCCCTAAAGAACCAAGCGGTGTATGTATGGGGTTCCCACAGGGGTAATCCTACATCCACAAAGACTACGGTGGTATGCCTAATCCAGGTCATATTTTCTTTTACAAGAAACTCTACAACGTCGTGTTCGGTGTGCATTGGTACTCCAAAACGCTCAGGTGGCGGCGGCGGAGGAGGATTCATTGTTCCGGCCGGGGTTCTGAAATATTTAGTTGAAACAACCATGAGAATATATCTCAGCAAGTACACACCCTAAGCCCCACCTAGGCTATCACATATCTCCAGACAAACACGACAAACAATCACACCCAGTTAACACACAATCAGTACTTACCTGGTCTTTCCAGCGTGCAACCTGCACTTTAGACATAACAACACTATTTCACTCGCATGCATATTATAATTATATTTCATGCATTCGTTCCGACCTCATCACACCTTTTTCCACAACTCTCGCCAGTGACCCGCATTATAGTACACGTCTCAAGTCCACTGCGACCAACTCATAACAACACTTCAGGGCCCGCGTTACAGTACACGTGTAACAGTCTGAATTTCGACATAATTCCGGGATCAATAAAATTGACATTATTTCGCATTTCATTTTAGCAGGTCTCGTCCAGAGCTGATCACTCTCGGGATACTAACCAATGGGGTATGGCTAACTAGGAAAACGGTGCGTGGACCAGGGACCCGATCGCGAATCGGGCATCGATCTCGAGAAACGAGGAAGGAATATTTTGGGCCAACGTGGGCCGATCTTAGGAAAAGTGACGGATTTGGTTTGGCCAAGGCCAACGATGTACAATCGGATCGCAAGTGATTTTGCACGACCGAAAGTGCACATGGCCAACCAGTCCCGAACTTAACCTGAACGATCGTGACCTCTGGAACTAGTGATAATTCCTCTCTCTCTCTCTATGATTGGAACCGTCATGACTCGGATAACCCTAGGTCGATACGCGTAACCCCTAAACAGCCGCCCATTAGTGAGAGACCCTGAATTTGAAAATTTAGCGAGTTTTAGTCACGAAATTGGACCCGGACTTTGGTATCGATTTTCGAGGGCTTGCACGACTATTTTTGCGAATCCGACATCATATTATGTTGGTCACTCATATTTGGGGATGGTACGGTCGAAAAATGGAAATTCGGCCCAGGACCGGAAAATTACGATTTTGCCCCTAGGCCTATTTTTGGGTATTCCAAATTTTGGGGATTTTGGAAATTAAATTTGGGGATTAATTGTGGATAAATATCAGCCCCAAAAGATTGGACCAAAACGCCCTTGGATATTTTGGCTTGGATTAATGAGGACCAAGTGTTTTAGGGGTAAAATTGGAATTTGGAAAGTTTGGTCAAAATTTGATTATTTAAGTCAAGACCACTCTCTCTCTCCTCATTCTCTCCCTCACCTCACGGCAGCCCCCCCCCCCCCCCCAACCGAGAACTCTCTCCCTCTCTCTCTCTCTTGGCCGTGGACAAGCTAAGCCGGTTCAAGCCACCGCCGCCGTCGCCGTTTCGCCGATCGTCACCGCCGTGTGCCGCCGTGAGCTGCCGATCAGCCGATCTCCCTTTCGACTCTAGCCGAGTTAGCCTAGAGTTCGGGTAAGTCACGCCCTAAACTCTATTTAGGATATCGGGTATTAACGGACTCGTTTAGGCGCGGTTTAGGGTAGTTTAGGGGTTGATGGAAGTGATTGTAAATGGATTAGAGGAGAACTTGATCCCTTGTTGTGTTTATGGATGTTCATGTGGCTGGTGGATGATAGTTTGGACATGGTGGAATAAGTTTTGGCGGTTGAAATTCGGTAGAAATCAACTAGGATTTGAATCCGTGCGGTTTGGTGTGATTCTCGGATTCGTGACTACTGTACCCGTCCGGTTTGCTATTTTTATGGAGAATTTTGTGGGCCGAATTTGACAAAGTTTCCTTCATGAAAGTTTCTCCCAATATCTTGAAGTATAACATATTTTAAATTTGGAATTTTTGGAGGCCATTTGGGTCGCACGAAAGCCCATTTACAGACCGTATTAAACTGTCCGGAACACTGTTCATCCCGACCTTCTTGTCTTGCCGAATTTTTATAAAATTTTCCGGATCTATTTTCAATGAACTTCCTTCACAAAAGTTGTTGAAGACTTTCTTTTCTATGGCATATAAAAATTCAAAGCTTTCCAAGGTGATTTGTGTGTTGAAAGAAATGTATTTTGAGGATAAAGTAATCTGTTAGAGCGAACTGATTTTGGTCTGATTTCGAGGGACAAAAAGGCATGGTTGCAGATTGAACCGGATTTCGTGTTCTTCATAAGAAATTTTTATCAAGATGTTTTTTATGATATATCCAAAATTTAGAATTTTTGGAGTTCGTATATGCGATTGTATGGTTTGTGATTGTTGGTTGATTCTGGATTGTGTCTTGGGCTGAATGTGGCGTGATTGTGTGCCGAGAGTGTGTGGCCATGAGGCGTGATGGTGTGATTGTGCATTGAGTTCGTGTGCCAAGCATGGGTGATCGTGTGGTGTTCATGTGGCAAGAATGTGTATTTGTGAAGTGTATGTGAAGTGTACGATTGTGTGTGGCCGTGTGTATATGTGGTCGTGTGGTATGTGTGGTATGAGTGGAACGAAAGCACGGGAATGTAGGATTGGTTGGAAAGGTTCCGTCCTGAGGCGTGTTCGTTTACGCGGGACGATGCCGTCCCTGACGAGGTGACGATGCCCGGCCCGACGGGGTGACGATGCCTGACGAGGTCAGAAGACCGTTGGCCTGATGCGTTTTACGCGGGCGCGGTAGAAGGAAAGTCGAGTGTAGGATTCCGTCCTGAGGCGTGTTCGTTTACGCGGAACGATGCCGTCCCTGACGAGGTGACGATG